GATTGAAAACATGTTATTAAAACAAAGATAAAAATAAAAAAACGTTTTTACAAAATAAGCTTTTATTTAAAATTCATAAAATCCTTAATGAGCCAAAGAATAATTTTATCTCATAGTTTAATGAAAACAATAGATTAATTGAGCCTCATTACAGTATGCACAATTTTATATCACGAATATTAAAAGTGTAGGCATTTAAGTAACGAAATCAAATAATCGAAGTGCATTTTCAAACGCCTGTGTAAATCTATCAAGGGCGCCCCACCTTTTTGTTATTTGTGATATAAATTTATAGATGAGTTTTGTAAAAAGGATTATTTAGTCTGTTATTGATTTTAAATTACACAATAAATTATTTTCCTGAATAAAAGGTTATTTTATAATTTTTTTTTTTTTATTTTTTTTTTTTTTTTTTTTTTTTATTTTTTTATTTTTCATCTTTAAACAGTTTTGAAAGAGAAATTTTAACTCCCCTTTCAGATACATTTACTTTCTAACGTGAAACTAATTTCTTACTTCGTTAGAACCAGTGTCCTTTATCATGACATCAGGAATCCTTCCGAGCTGAGGGTTCTATTGCCTTCAGGATTGCGCGGTCGCTTTTCACTTTAGGCATTTGAGGCTGTAAGTAAGACAAAAATCCAAGCTGGCCATTCTTGACGCATCTTTTAATCTAACAAGAACACGCACAGAGTTTTCGAGAGTATATTTAAAATAACAATTTTCCATAGCGACCCGTTAAAGAGCCTGCATATATATAAAAAAAAAAAAAAAAAAGATAGTCCGGGATAAATCGTTAAAGGGTTAATCCAAGTTACTTGCCGATTAGAAGCCCTCCTAATACACTGAATGAAATATACCTGATTATTTATGCTCCTTTGGTCTTGATAACAGTTGACATACGAAGAGGCGTGAATTCAAGAAGTCTACGAAAATGTTCCAGAGGCATGGCCTACCAAACTTTTTCTAGAATTTCCATAAATCAGTTAAATACAATAGTGGCGGATACCGTGTATTCATTTATATTTCCAGAATATCAAAAATCTGTTCAATGGGGTTTAAATCACGTACTTTTCGGTGACCATTTAAACAATGGAGTTCACTCTAGTGCTCCTAGAACCAGATGGTAGCCAACAGGGATCTGGGAGAAAAGCATCTGACTTCTGATATATTTTATTTCCTGTCAATTAGCAGAAAAGCATGAAAGAATGCGAGTGATTGCCCAGGAGAGCTACGCACTTAGATGTATTGAAGGTGCTGAATTTAAGTACCAAATATCGCAAACATTGCCAAAGGAAAACACCTGACACTGTAAATAAAGCGACTGTGACCTTGTGCGTTTCCAATCTGCGTTCCTTGTGCGTTCCATGGCTTCATGGATCTGGCGCCACATTTTTAGCCTACCATTAGCTGGACGCAATCGCGATCGAGACTTTTTTTTTTCGTCTCTCCTTAGTTGCTTCCAGTCTTCTATGGTCCAGTCACTGTGTTCTGTGACTCATGCAAAGTCTTTAGGTGTGGCATGCAGTGAGAAATGGTACTTTTATGGCTTTCGGCTTTTGAAGACCATGCACTGAAGTGAGAGCTAATGGTCCATCTACTGTTTGTCCGACTGAAGACTTCCTTTAATTAGGTGGTCGCCTGAGCTAACGTTTGCTGTCGCTGGCTGCTTACGATGCAATTGAGTCACAATGATGTAAGAGCTGTTTGTTTCTTGCAGTTTGCTCGATTACTCGTTCTTTTCTCGTTATCCGTAATCTTTCGTCCTTAGTGTGCAGTAAATTTAGCTGTACGACCAAGGGTGAACTCCCGGTGCCCCGCCCACTCACGAAACGTTTTTTATGTACGCATTTCTCTTGTCATGTTTTTTTTTTTTTTTTTTTTTTTTTTAAATTTAACAATGGAAACATTTCTATAATAGTATATTTTTTCAAAGACATCACTAGTATTCTTTAATATAAAAATCTATTTGCCACTGTTTCTAGTTTTAATTTTCTTTCTTTTAAATGTTTTTAGCAAGTTAGTTGCATATATTTTTCAATAGATCATTAAAAGATATTTAATCTTGCAAAACTTTTTGTTCGAACTACCTTAAATGAAAACGTACAATCATGGGAAATTTCTGGAAAATTGAGCGTTAATCAAATGATTTGAGAATCTTTAATAGTAAAAGTTTGTTTAAGAACGGGTACCGTTTTAGACTTAGGAAGCAAAACGTGACAGGAAAATAAAGTTGACATCAAGAACAAAAAGAAAATTATTCAAAATATACTTGCTAAATGGAAAAGCATCTTTAACAAATTTCACTTACTAAAAATCCTTTAACTCTCATGGATTTAAAAATATAATCTGCAATGCCCGAAGAGCTGCTAAGTATTTAATAACGAACTAATAAACTGTATGACCATAAAAAGACACTAGACTGATATTAACTTCATACCACTGAAATACAATATATTTAGGTTGAAAAATTAGAGATTGATATATTACGAAAATTGAATAAAGCATATAAAACATTCATTGTATTTTCCTATACCTGAATGTTTATTATTTTGTGTCATTCTTTCCCTCTCCCTTTACCTTTAGTTTTATTTTAAATCTTACTTTTCAATATGCTTATACATTTTTTTCGTAAAATAGCAGAGAAATGGGATTAAATTTCTTTAGATATATTTTAGGTGCTAGACTGATCTTTTCTAATTAATGACAAAATACCACGATACGTCCATAGGTGACTAGATGATAGCTTAAATGTAGAACTTATTGGCCATAAAGAACATAAAGCCATTAAGAATCTGAAATATAATTACTGAAGATCTAGGCAGGTTAGATATTACAGAAGGAATTCTATGACAAGAATAAAAAATTAATGCTTTAAAAATATGACTTTTGACACAAGCGCAAAGTTGGATTCTATAAAAAAAATCTTTTCATGCCTAAAAGTGCCTCTCTCTGTTTATTTACTTTCTCTTTTTGTTTACTTTAAAATTAATTATTGAAGATCTAGACAGATTAGATATTACAGAAGGAATTCTAGGAAAAATTACTGCTTTAAAAATGTAACTTTTGACCCAAGCGCTAAATTGGATTCTTTAAAAAATGATCTTTTCATGCCTAAAAGTGCACCATGCGAGGAGGGAAAAAAGTAAAATCTATTACCTCTCTGTTTTTACTTACTTTCTCTTTTTGTTTACTTTAAATTTAATTGCTGAAGATCTAGGCAGGTTAGGTATTACAGAAGGAGTTCTTGGACAAGAAAAAATATTAATGCTTTAAAAATATGACATACACGTTAAATTGGATTAAATGGCACAAACGCTAAATTGAATTATTTAAAAAAGATATTTTCATGCCTAAAAGTGCACCATGCGAGAGGAATAAAAAAGAAAAATCTGTTACCTCTTTCTTGCCTTACTCGGAAAATAGTTCGGATATGAATCCAGTCGAAATTTACTTTAAGTTGTAAAAGGTAAATTGGAGCAAAAGAGAAAAACTAACAGAGTGGAGCCTATTTAAATTCTTATTCATATACTGTAAAACCCGCATTTCTCAGAAGAATCGAATAAGCCAACGCGTGAACTCTCTACGGTATGAATTAAATGGGCATGAGAATAAGAGATTTAAAAAAATAAGTAGAGAATGAATACAGCTTTAAATTTGTATCTACATTTTTAAACATGGCGTCAAGGTTACTGGGAATTAAATAATCAATAAATAACATTAAAGAAAGATTAAACGAAATTTGATGAATTACTTTATTGTTTCGTTTTGCACCATAACTCAAACTTAGAGTAACAATGAGCAGTAAACTTAACAAACTAAATCAACTTATGAAAAATTAATCAAAAACTTTACTGCATACAACGTTCCGGGTAAAAACATTCTTAAGCATTGGTCAGCTGAGTGTTTTTAGGCCCCTCACTTTTTTTTTTTTTTTTTTTTTTTTTTTTTTTCTTTTAGATTTTTCGAATGTAAAATGGCGCCGTAACATGGCTATTAAACGAATCCTTAACTTAATAGGTGTTAATTAAATGTGTCAGAAATGCTCAAAGAACAAGCGGCTTCCATGATACGTACTAAATTATTGCCAATATAATGAAATATTTGTATTTAATAAGCTGAAGATAATAACTGTTAAAACTTCTTTTTAATTTAAATTAGTTTGTTTATTGTCAATTTTATTGGGATTATTTAATTCTACGCTACGTATTTATTTAATTTTAGATTTATTAAAAATATGCAGTTTATACCACTGTTTTTAATGCGTGGAATTTTATAATTATGCACTGATAAAGGTTTGTTTATGTTATATTGAAAAACCATTTGCTTTAAAGACTGCGTAAGCATATTTTCCATTCCCCCCCCCCCCCCCACAGTTTAAGGCAGGAGGGAAACGCAACATTTGCTTAGAGTTGGAGTATAGCCCTTATAGCGATTCCTGCATTCAGGTGACTTCCGGTTATTAGATATGATTATAGTCCGAAAATTCGTAGCAAATTGCTAGTTGTCAACATGGGAAGCCAGAGTTATGTAGTTGAGAAATTTCTTTTAACAACTGAAAAATGTAAATAATGAAATATTTTAACTTAGATAAATGCCTCCGAATAGCTAAAATTTATCCTGCATAAAAAAGATATGTAAAAGATACGTTCAAAAGGTGAGTAAAAATCAAAACAATCATATTCTTGAATGAAACGAAAATGATGGATATGCAATGAATTAAAAAATATTTTTTTAAGATTTTTTTTTTTTTTTTTTTTTTTTTTTTCATGCGGAAACATGAAATGTTACTGAATGATAATAACTGATAGAAAAAATATCGGAGAGAAATTTTTCAATCTCGAAAATCAGAACCTTAAGAAACCACATTCCTCTAGCACGACAGAGCACCGATTCGACTGAAAGAAATAAACTTGTCTAGACTGATTCTAGACGGTGCATAGCTCCAGCTGCAGCAGTTTACCTCCACTATTTGTGATGTCAGCTGCTCCAGAATCATTAAGTAACGTGTTTAGTTTCAGTTTTTATCGCTTTAGTTGCAGTTTCATGTAATAGTAGAAAAATGTTAGTAGAAAATCTTGCCGTTTACTTGAATTACTTTGCGGCGGACTACCTTTGATTTTTACTCATCGCTCCTAGCTTGAACTTCAGCATTACTTAAAATTTCATCATTCATGCATTTGTATCAGCATAATTTGGCCTAACGCATAAATCTCGAATATAAAGGTTAGTCAATTTTGATTTTCTATTTTTATTATAAATATTTACATTGACGGAATAATGCTTAGTAATAAAATTACCGTATTTGCCGGCGTATAAGACGCACTCCCTTTTTATACACATTGTTTAAAGATAAAACTTTATTACTGATCATTACAATAAATTTACAGTATTTTAAATATAAATTAATGCAAATATAAAGTAATACTTTCTGCAGATACCTAACCTAAGAGTTTTTTTTTTTTTTTTTTTTTTTTTTTTTTTTTTTTATAATCCTCTTCCTGATTCCACCAAGTTCTTATTATTTTCTCAGTTAAGGGTGGCCCGAAAAATGACTCTTTGCAGCTCTGTTTCCATGTTCTTTAGCATCCGCAATCACATGTAGTTTGTATGCTGTGTTATAGTAATGCTGACACTGTTTTTGAGACATAACTTTCCAACAAATTTAAGAAAATTGAACAGTATAAATTTCACACACTTTCATTCTCAAACATTAGAAGTTTAAACGAACTCAGCTGTAGTCTACGATAGCGCATGCGCATTCACTGAACGCTACGTAACTAATATTCCCACACTCTCCGACGAAACAAGAAAAAAATTTCCAGAAATGAATGTAATCAAAAACGTATAAGACGCAGTATCGACGTATAAGACGCAGTATCAACGTATAAGACGCAGTATCGACGTATAAGACGCTATCCGTTTTTCAGACCTATTTTCAAAGAAAAAAAGTACATCTTATACACCGGCAAATACGATATGCTGAAAAGGTAAATATATGGCGAAATATTAATTCCGTATATTAAAATGTGTAAAAATATGATGAAGTGCTACTTCCAAATAGCTGTCACGCAGCAGGTATGTGAGCAGTGTATAACTGAAAGAAGTCGAAAAGCAGAGAGCACCTATGCATGCAAAGGTGTATACAAGATATATATATATATGCAATATGCAAAAATATGAGGTTACAGTTTCTTCTAAATAATTTCTTGAGAGAAATGAAGATTTTAAAAGTAAGAAATATTAAAGTTAAAACGAAATGATACTGTTATAAAATCTGCGGAGCTTAATGCACTATTTATTTTCTTTCATAAATAAATACAACAGCGAGAAAACCAAAGTTTAAATAAACTCGTTAACAAAATACTAAACAATTACTTTATAACCAATTAATGTATTACAAACAGAGATGGAAAAGCTTTCTCTAAATTGTACTAATAGCGACAATGTTCGAAAATATTATGAATTTCTCTTTGTCATTAAAAAGTAACTTTAATACGCAAATTATTAAAAAAGTGCATAAAACTGAACCTCGAAATTAATAGAGGGCATGAGCATATCGGAAATTAACTATCCTCGTGCACCGTAGCTCAATTTTAGTTCTCCAAAAACGTAAGTGTAGAGTCAATAAGTTTTTTTTTTTTTTTTTTTTTTTTTTTTTGAGGCAGGAAATGCGAAAAATGTGCAATGCCCTCTTCGGAACTCGAATTTGGACATCTCGAATACACGCCAAGTGTGCTACCTTCACACCACGAAGGCATGCAGAAAGGAGGGAGAAAATACCTTATATACTCTCCCTTTTAAAGGGACTATATACTCCTCCTTTTATAGGACTGAGGATTAAGAGACCCACTCGTCAAATCCTAGTGGTGAAGAATCATCATCAACCACCTTTTAGTTCGGACGCCACTGCACAATCATTAGGTTTCTTTGAAGAAAGAGACTACTTGAAAAGTGTGCAATGCTCTTTCCAAGACTCGAATTTGGATTTCTCGAATACGCGCCGAATGTGTTACCGTTACACCCGTTACCGAACCGTTACCGAACACATGCAGGAAGGAGAGAGAAAATGTAAGAAAGGACTAAATAGTCCCAAAAGGACTCCCCAAAAGCACTAAATAGTAAATATATGTACAGTTTGCATGCTATATACGAGGGGTTCTCAACTATGGGGAAGGGGGAATTTTGATCTTTGAGTACTACGTAGCTGCCCCTAGGTGATTTTCTGACTTTGAGCTGTCGGTAAAAATTATTTTTATCTTACCTGAGAAGGAAGCCTGGGGCAACGTACTTCCGACAACTACTGGAATAGACGTGCTTGCTTGTTTGACTGTTCGACACTTACAGTGTGTATTCCTTTGAACTTTGCATCTTCCTGATAGTGAAAGCTCCTGTAGATAGCGCGTTTCATCTACTCCCTTAGGTACAAAAGCTTTGCCACTGCACGAATCTGCAGCGCCACTATTAATGCGCTGATCTAAACGCTAAGGCGATTTGGGGCAGTGTTATTCGAGGGATCTGTTGTAAATTTTGAGACACCCTGTCTGTGTTGGTTATCCATCTGTGTTGCCATGCAAAAGCATTTTTTTATGATCCTTAAGTACAACTCTTTAGTAAAACTTCCATTTAGATTCCATATGCTATTCACTATTCTGTTTTGTTTATTTATTGCCTTGTGTGTTTTATCCTTGACTGATGTTAAGTGGGGAATCTACGTTAATTTCTTATCCATTGCAAAGCATAGGTAGGCCATTATCTTGTCTTGGTAAGAAAATTCTTTTGCATTTATGCCAGGGGAGTTATCTGATAGTTTTTGCACTCTTGGAAATACGATCATCTGAGTCTTTTCTACACTAAATTTAAATTATTTGCTGCACTACAGCCTTAGGAGGAAGTTTAGCGAGTTTTCTTTCCTCTGTATTGTGGTTTCCATTCTTCAGTTGTTTATCAAGATAAAATAGTCAGAATATTACTGAATTTAGATATTTTTTTAAAGTCCAGCTCTGAAGCTTCATCTTTCATTATATTCCAGAGTGTTCATTCCCTAAGAGACTCCTTTGCGATATTCTGCTGTGGCATTTACTGCGCATCCATTTTTACATTCTTTTCCTACCTTCCAGGTGAAAAGAGACAAACCTAACGTGTAGAGGTAGAAAGTTGTGTGAAGTTTACTTCCGCATTTTGTATCATAGTTGGCAGAAAGCTCAGGTTTACAAGAATGTTTTTTGTATTTGCAAATTCAGAAAAGCGCTAGGATTCTAACTGTGTAATTTTCATTACTATTAATTAATTGTTTAATTAGTTTTCTAAGCGTTATTGATAGTTGTTCCTGATAGCAAGCGTTACTGATAGCAAGCTTTTCTGATAGTTGTTCCTTGAACACATAGCTATCAGCTAAGTGACCCTCCTTCCCTTCGAAGATGAGGACCAGAGGCATTCTCCCCTCCTCCCAGTTTCGAACAAAAGCACTACCCTTCCTCCACCCAAGGAAACTTTTGAGTACTTACTCATTCTTTCAATTCAACAAGAAGAAAGATTATTTAGTGTGGTTATGTGCGTGTACGAAATAACTGCCCTATAATACTCATACCTCATGCCTATATATAATACTCGTCATCCGCGTGAACAGACTTCTCATAATTTTACATCATTGGCTTTACTGAAAATCTGTAATATTTTACTATATTATTAGTTCTTAGTGCTGTTATCGGGTCAATAGACTATTAGGACACTTTTATTTCAATATACATTTTTGAAGAATTTTGAATCTTGGCAGAGAACATAAGTAAGTATAAGCGTTTTTAATTCCAATTATTCTAATGGTAAGAAATTTCTAATTTCTCATATCCTTGTAGTTACAAGAATTTGAAACACTATTTCCTTTTTCTTTCTGTTTTATGCTGTGCACTGAACTTTTTTTTTAACTAGTTGTTAGAACTAATAATTGCGAAACTGCATGGCCAGTTCACGGCATTCCTAATGCTCCGCCGATCTCAATGCCAGAACCTGCTGGTATTGCAGTGGCTAAGGCTTCACTTTGAGAAAAAAATACCACCTTCCATTAAAGTAATTCAACGAAAGCAGATACCAGTTATAAGAAAGAAACTCTCCGAGAAAGTCATATTTCGTAAACCAAAAGAAACGACCGCAATGTAGAAAGCATCCTTGTGTAGCTAATAGGTAAAATAAATGCACAGCAACTAGAGATCACGATGCAGGGGAGGCGTTCTACACACTCCAAAGCTGATCCATTGCAGGCAAAGATAACAGCTTCAGAAACTACGAAAGGCAATTGAGGAGGCGCCAATACTCTACAGATCACTTACTCTTTGGGAGCCACTACCTCCAAGAGACACCACAACTGTGTCTGGAGTTCCCTTGGAAGCTCAAGTGAAAGGCATTAGGCTGACTTCTGAGAATTTCAGCATAATCGCTTGCGCGAACGTCCTCTTCCCGTGTAATATCTGGCCCGACAAGATGGAAACAAAAATTTGGTCATTGGCCTAGTCTCAGAACTATTTGCAAGATAAAAGACCATAATAGAATAATACTTGAATTCGCGTCTTGTCCCTTTCAGACGTATTATAAACTGTCTCGCTATCATAATTCTCCGCAAGGCTAAACAGGCCTGTGAGAGGTGCAATAAAACGCACCCCTCGCAGATTTGCAAAAAAAAAGGGGGGGAACACTGCATCAATTGTGAAATATCTAACTTTACAAAAGCCATCAGCTTTACCACTGATCATCAAGTGGACAACATGTCAAGCTTAAAAAGCAGCAGTGCAGACATTACAGTCAGCAGTAACTAGTACACATACTACAATACTTCGTCGTTCTCCAGCAGTTGCATTTATGCGGTGCAATCTCCAGGTCTATAATCCTGTCACCATCAATATTCTCCAGGAAATGGCGCAACTAGGAGCAGATGTTACATTATTCCAAGAAGTATATATCTCCAAGGAATGCATTCCTGGAATCCTGTTCACAAGCAAAATCTTTCTCAATAAGAGACTGGTTTCAATCGTCTATCATGTCTCTCTTTCAATTCTGCAGTTATGGAAGACAGAACGTACGGTTTCCGTTCTTTTAGACACGAGGAAGTTTTCACAAGATATAAGTTTACTTCCCTCCCATCTCTGACATAGACCCACTACTTTTGAAATTGAAGATAGGTATTTACCTGTGTTTCCAGTAATATTTCTGAGACTGTATATCCTCAAATATCTTGTGTAGTGGCAGGAATTCAGCTACGACAGGCAAGCGTACCCAAAGACTGATGCCAACAACAAGAAAGCCAACAGTTAGGTCAGAGCTGCAAACTGATAAAGCAATTTTTTGTCAGTTTCTAAAGGGTCATGGCCCATTTCTGTCTTATCTAAGCCTGTCTGGTTATAGTGACACTGACATCTATAACTGTGGCTTGCTTAGCCACCCCTATCACTACATATTTGAATGTCCCTTTACTCGGAACCATCATCTCAGGTCCTGAACACTTGTTGGCTTGGACAAAGAATACTCTCTCTAATAAAGTTGCATAGCTTAAGATGTAAAAAATTATTAATCATTGTGCTTCCACATATGCCAAAATTTCTCATCGTCAGAAAAAACTGTGACTTTTAAGAAAAGTACATATCTTTACGTACCATTTACCTAATTTTATGCATTTTGTATCATTATTGTTTATGTATTATTATGTATTTTGTTTTAAGTAATATTGTGCAGTTTATGTAATTTGCATATTTTGTTACTTTATATCTATATATTTATATTTATATACCATCCAACGCGTTGGACATAGCTTTGAATTCTAGCCTTTTGTTTTCGGGTAGAGTGTGAAGGATATCCTCTGTGTCTGCCCTCAACTTGAGGTGAAACTGAAACGTAGAATAATTTAAGTCAAAATCTAAAATAAAATAGAGCTGTATTAGCACGTTAAATTACACCATAACAGGTTGACACCACAAAGACCTAACAGGAGTGACAATATCCGGAATGGCCAAGGGGCGTACGAGCGTAACAGCGAAATAGCAACAAAACGTTCGCTGGCTATCGAAAAAACGCTCTGAATAAACTCATAGATTCACCCGTTAAATACTCGCTTCACTTAACTTTAAATTTACATTCTGGCAAGAAAATGAGAGGGGAAGTTGAGAAGTTCAGTAAAGGTATTAAACTTAAAATAAATTTGTTATGCAAAATAAGGGAAACCCTAGAACATAACTGCACAAAAATCATCTGGCTATGTGCAAAATTCGTAACACAATGAAGGCAAAGCTGTTTATAATGGCATTATAATTTGTGTAAATAAAGATATCTTTATTCGGAAATAATTGCACAACTCAAAAATGGGCTGAAATAATTACTTCTTTTGTAACACCAAACCTCGGATAACGATGCAGCGAAAGATGTAAACTACTATTTCCTTTCCATATTTCGTTTGAACACTTTTTTGCATCTTCCATGCATTTTACCACCTTGCATCTGGTTTCCTTTTATTGCATATGCCTTATTTCGAATTAACTGTAGAATGGTTTTATTTCACACTGTTACCACCACTTATTGCTGCTATCATCAGGAACTCGGATTAGGTTTTTAACTGCTTTTTACTTTATATTTATTATATATACTATATAAATAAATATAATGATAAAAAATTTAATATTTCAAAAGTTGCAAACTTACTAATAGGAAAAATATTTAAAATAAAAAATCAGTATTAAAATAAAAGTATATAAATACAAAAAAAAATGCTGAAATTTATATTAAGTTCATAAATCAGTTCTGAATTACAGTGAAAACATCATTCATAAATCTGTTCTGAGTGATATCAAAACTAATTCATAAAAATAAATTAGAATAATAAATTAAAATGGAGTAACTTAAATAAATTAATTAATTTTATGCAAATTAAACAATTTTAAAATGCCAGTAAGATAATAGAATTGAAAGTTGAAAGAAAAATTTATTGGAATCTAACCATCAAATTATAATCTGCTGCTAATAAAAATTTTAAATTGTTGGACAATATTAACTTATTTCATACACTCAGGAAAGCATTCAAAAAAATGTTAACGCAATTATAAAAATTCATCAGAATGTAATATATAAACTACGTAGTTCGATAATAACAAAGAAAGTCTATTGATTGTGTCTCAAAGAAAGTCAATTCATTTAGCGTTTATCACTTCTAAATTCATTTAATAAAGCTTAAGACTTGAAAGCATTGAATGACACAGTCATCTGTTTATAGATAAAGAACACTTTCATTTTGTATTAACCAAGATGGTTTAAGCTTGATTACATTTTCTTTTACAGTTATGGCTCGAAAAGCCTTCTTTCCTCCGGATACGATCCTACCAATGAGGGTAACACAGCAGAAGTGGATCTGCGTTATGTCTCCGCAACTTTATGAGATGAAGATTGATTATTCTAAAGTTGGAAAATGGCTTTTGTTTTTCGATCACGAAAAGGAATGCGAGGCTAGAGGTCTTACTGATCATGAGCTTGTTTGGCAATACATGAAATACCTAGTGTATGATCATCAGAACACACATATCATGGGTGCTAAATGTTCCACAGCTTGGGAAGGTCCAAGGAACTGCTCTCCAAACTGTCCAAATGGAGTAATTTGCTGTTATACTGACGATTATACAAATAAGTTAGAAGTAAAAATTGCAGCTGATGCCATTCGGCGGATCATAAATGATAAATGTCAGATAAACACACCTTTCCTAAGACCCATATATTATAAAACTGATGAAGCTACGTATGCTGGTCTATATACTTACTTAGGTAACAAGCATATATCTACATATATGCATTCATGTGATAACGTTCTTTTCGAAAGAGATGAATTCGGTCATTGGCAAAAAGTAGAGTTTTAAAATTTATTCAAAATGTTCTTTCTTTTCAAAAAGTTTTTGTTTATGTTTCGATAATTGTCAAGGAGAAACAACAGTGTTATAATTATGCCTCTTCAGAACCACTATTTTTCATGAATCACTTTGTATGGTTTTATGTTTATTATCCTATTATTAGTCCAAAGGGATTTGAATCCCGAAGGACTATTAGTTTCGTTTTGGCATTTTGCGTCGGACTCATAAATGTCGGTTCACTTTTCAAACTGTTGCCACAAAATGTTAGAGTCCTGCATTATATTTGAAGAAATTAAATAATGAAAAATCTGCATAAATGTATGTATATTTTTCGTATTGTGATAAAACAACGGTACATAGAGTCATCGAATTTTGAATAACGTAATCCTCCAACGAATATGAGCATGTGGAAGACCAAATTTGAAATTTGAAATTTGTTTTATGATCGATTTTCCTATTTTTTAAAACTTTGACGAATTTTTGATTAACAAACTCAAGGATTTCAAAGCGAGCAATGGCAACGTTGTGCAGAAAAAACATTTTTATCTCCAGCGCGTGAGTCTCTGTATCGGAAATTCTAAAGATATGCTCGTTTTAAAACTATTTTGCGATATTGCTGTTGCACTGGATCTTATGGTTTAAGTGCGAGGAACATGATATTTAATAAAGAAAGGTAACACACAAAATGTTAAAAAACGCCCCTTTGGACGTAATTTAAAATCTGAAACATTTCAGATTTTGTTTTTTATCTTATTATTTTATCTACACTCGACCTTCTACTTTCATCGGCTGCCGCCAGGATTCAGTTTGGTATATATGAACAGACTTCTTGAAGCTAGCGATCGTTGACCTCCGTACTATTTTTGCCCAATTATTTGTAATTAAAGAGTTAAAAACGAATCAAATGTTAATCGAAAAGCTTTTTATTACTGATTAAAAAGTATGCGATTGAATTATTTTTTAAAAAGGCCGGGGATTTTTTACTTGGTTACAACTGGCACAACTAAATTTTTCGGCAAGAAACGCAAACTGTTTCAACGCCTTTCATAAAGTATCATTTTTCTTATTCATTCTTATATATCCGCAGCATAGTCAAACAGTTCCTATGCCGTTTTTAACACCTCACTTAACTTGTTAATTAAAGGTGCTTTATCTTCTTAGCTATCGCTGCTTTCACTGTCGACTGGTATTATAAGATCCCAATTCTTCATTCGTCATTTTAACTTCTCCTCCTTCCATATCTGAAATTCCTGCGCCGTCACTTTGTAGAGGCATTAGGTTATTTTTTGAAAGCAGGAGAGATGAAAAATATGCAACGCCTTCGTCGATAATCGAACCACGGACCTCTGGAATACCGGTTCAGTGTGCAGACCACCACACCAAGAAGGCATATCAAAAAGGCGGGAGAAACAACTTATAAATTGATTTTCCAGTTTGTACGATATCTTTGGCTTCATTTTCAATTGATATTAATTCTTTAAAATTCTTGATAAATTATGGCCAAAGATGATTCCAGCAAGCCTTCAGTGTTGATGGATGAACGTTGAACCGTCCATGAATGAAATTCCAGCCTTGGACAAATAACGTATATACACGTATATGCAAAATTTTGTTCCTGAAATCCACGCTCGGCAAGAGTTTATTATGACAGCGAGTGCAGTGGTACTGTACCTGTAAGACCAATAGTGAAATTCTGGAGTCCCGTCCACATCTTGTACCTGTACTTAAGTTTTACACAAACGTATTATATTAGCTTAAATATCGCAAGCAGTGGTGATTTGCTATTGTAATACGCGGGCTGTGTGATTTGTTAAGTCTGAAGTTCCAATAAAAGATTATTTTAAACCTGTGTTCATTGTTTCTTTCACTAGAAATCTAAAGCTGGCCGACAAGTCACCTTACTGTCTGCAAGGAGCCAGAAGCGTGTCACTTCCGTGAAACTTAACCGAATAAAACTTTGATAAAATTTTGTTTGAAACATCTTTCAAAGTTCTTTAATTCTTTTTCCCTCCAATTTTACTTGGGAAAATCTTGTTGTTATTGTGACTCATCTCACTTGTCTGACAGCAACATCAGAACAAACCCGCGAAATTCATCGTGGCGTAGAGTGCAAGATTGCGCTTGTTGTTGGCAAGAGTCTTGAGCATCATGCAAGTGGCAATACGATTTTGCTCAGTTCCGATCTCAATTTTGGCCACAGACAGACGGGTCCGAAGGTTTCTCAACCCTCTTCTCCTACCATCAACTTCTCGAGATGCATATTTAGAGTGGCCTCATGCCGCACAGACACAATACATTTACAAACATCCATGCCTGTTCTGGAATTCGTGCCCGGGCCCTTTGGTACGGCAATCACTATCTCTGTTGGGCGGCTGGGAAAGATTTTTAAAATGTATTAGTCGAGAATTTTTTCTTTTACTATTTTAAGGTATAAAAGATTTAATTCAAGACAGTTTGAAAGAAAATGTTACCTTTTTCATCTAATGATAAAGGTAACTTTGCACAAAAGAACAGATGTATTCTTTTAATAAAAAATTCCAGACTATCTAAGACTACACCCAAATGGGTATTAGAAAAGTCTGGATAAATCACTTGTTTTGTATAAACCAAATATGTTTTTACTGCAATGCAAATAAGGACTTTTGTTCGCCGTGCTTTATTTAATCGAATTCCAATGCCACAAATAATGATATTTTCTTATTTCCATTAAATAAAATGTAAAATACACAGTTTCTAATAAAATTAAGCAGTGAACTGTCTTTTCCGCCCAGCAAATTCCATAAACTATCTTTAACAAAATCTAATGACTATATTTTTTTAGATGAACAATTGTAAAATTAACAATATAATGCATATTATATTGGAATTTATAAATGTGTAAATAAATAAAAAGCAATCAAAATTTTCTTAACACTGAAAAAAACCAAGCGATTCAGATAATTGCAATTCTGGTTAGTTGGAGCCTGAACAAATAGAGCTTGTGTCGTCACAGTTTGCTCACATTTTATTTACAGCCGAAAATTCACAATTAACAAATCTGACGTGGACACTACATGACCTCCTTGTACAGTCTATTAAATTATAGGTATTTTTTGCTGCACTTCTTTATTCGAATTTCATTACAGATATATTTCTCTTTCAATCAATTGACTTCCCACTTCGCAGCAAGGCAGAAATACATGAAAACTCAAAATATATTCATTAAAAATCAAAAAAATAAAAAAAAAAAAAAAAAAAAAAAAAAAAAAAAAAAAAAAAAAAAAAAAAAAAAAAAAAAAAAAAAAAAAAAAAAAAAAAAAAAAAAAAACCTGAAACAACAATTACATTTAAAAACAGTAATTCCCCCCCCCCCCAGTTAAAATTAGAGTTTCTATCCAAAAATAAACGAGTCGGCAGGAAAACAAAACTTTTGGTGCACAAAACTGAAAGTTAATTTTCGGCCGCACTGGGCAAAAACGCACTGAAGCTGATGCACCAACTGACTTAATTCACTATTCTACTAAGAGTTTCAAATGCAAGCAAATGGCTGCATCGTTGGGCCTAACTTTTAAATTGTTGATAATTTGTACAGCTATGGCATACAGATTAATTAAAAGTTAGGTTAGGTTAGGTTATTTAATTACGGCAAAGACTCGAGGGCTATCTGCCTAAGGGGAGGGATGCCTTCGTGGAGGACTTTCTAAGGGAAACTGGCTCGTATACAAGTTACACATGGGGAAAACCACGAAAACACCCATGCAGCCAGCCCGTTCGTGGGATTCGAACATCGGACCGAACTACCAGTGTTCAGCGACTTTACCGCTCGGCCGCTGGTGGGCAATTAATTAAAGGAGTAAAAGCTTTAATCGGAACATAAGAACAACATAATTCAATTAATTTGTAAGCAAAAAATGCATTACCAATATACAAGAATAAAAAGACTGAGCTCACCGAGTCGGGTAACAGAGTTGAATTTTGTATATATATGTATATATTTGACCAATGGCTGGCCCTCAGCCGACTTCGCCTTGGCCAATACTGAGGTCAGACATAGCAATCACTTTATTATGGAGGCACCTAATAGGTGATCATTGCCTATCTATGCCCAGATCACTCAAAAATTGTAGCTTTCGCTCACGGTGTAGCTTTTATTACAAGTGGCCGTACCAGAAACATTTTACAGGCTAACTGAAACGAAACACTTCAGATGTTTAACCAACTTTGCAAAATTCAAAAACTGCAAATTTCCCATAAGTCTCAAGTCTTAGTGATCCATAAACCAGGGCAAAATATAACTAAAGCTTTAGCTCTAAAAATTGATAATCAAAAGATCAAATCTGTGAATACAATCAAGTACCTCAGATTAAACAATCGACAAGAAATTCTCCTGGATTCCTCATCTACAAAATATTACTCGTACACTCAACCAATGCTAGAGAGAGGATAACTGGGTAATCCCATAAATTTTTAAACATCAATAAAATGTAATTCGACGATTTGGCTCAACAGAGTGAGAATTTAAAAGTTAATCAATCAAAGGCTTTACTCTGTAAGGATCTTAAGTTTTACTAACGTTTATTTTATTTTAAATCTTTACTATCACTTCTTATTTTCTACTTCCGGCCAGAATTATAAGCGTTAAGGTTTTATGCAAAGTTTGTCTGGCGAACGCCAAGTATTTAAGTTGTGGCTTTTTGCCAAGCGAGAGAGAGAGGAAGCAGTGAGTCGAAGCAGGCCGCTTACCTTAGAAGTTACGCAGTTGCTGGTTTGCCTTCCAGGCCAGAGGTTTTAATCCTCTTGATAAATTTTAAACGTATTGTAGTGTTCACAGTTCTCTGTACTACATACGCTTCCTGTTAATATAAGGCCAATCTTCCACGTTTATTATTCTAAAGTTAAATTAGAGTTTAGTTTTATTTTATACTTTTTACGTTAGACCCCAAGTAGGGGGTCATTGTATTCCGAAGTACGGAAGTCATTGTAAATAGAGAAAAATAAAGGGTTTTGTATACCCTTCTTGTGTATCCTGTCTACTTCCCACAATTAGTGAACATAGCTTTAGTAAGCTCTCTGTTCCGAGTCAGGTCCTTGTATGTTCCCGAAGAAGGTTAGAAGGAACATTGAACCTGATAGTGGCGCCCAACGAAGAAGAATAACCATGGCCGAGTTTCAAGAAGAACCTGTGCTGCCTGCAGAAACGGCTCAGAATCCAGAAATGCCAGCTGCCGCCCTGGAAGGATTTGGTTACATCGTCCAGACCATGCGCGCTTCGATGAAACCAGA